ATATATTACAGAAAAATAATGATTATTTCTAGAGAAAATACATATGTATGTATAATTGGGCGGGTTCGGGTTGGATAGTGATAAAACCATGTCCGTCCATCACCCGCAATATTCGGGTTCGGGTTTTATCCGTACCCACTAAAAGTCCTCTGGATACGGGTTTTACCCTATCCAATTAGGTCGGGTTCGAGCGGATATTCACGGTTATAGATATCACACTTTGAAAAGATGATACGAGTGAAATATGAGTCGAAACCTATATATTAATTCTTGTTCTACGTAAAGAACTTATTGATACAATTTGATATATCACATGGACAAAACTTAATTCCTTATCTCCTCTTTCATCATACTTTTGATTTTTTATTATTTACTATTGCCTTCTCAGTTATGTAATTTATAACAAACACTGTTTTTTTGCTAATCTAGAATCTGATGTTCTCAAAGAACTACTATTATCATATAAATGGTATATATAAAACTTTGCAAAAAATAATATCAACGGTCTGGGTGGTGTAGTTGGTTATCACGTTAGTCTCACACACTAAAGGTCCCCAGTTCGAACCTGGGCTCAGACAAACAAATATTTTCCCCAGTTTTTTTAGCTCTTAATTTTTGTTTAACCTCTTCTCACTCGACGCTTTCGAGATTCAAGTTCCACTTCCACACGTTGCTTAACTCGACAAAAACTACAGAACCTTCGACCTCCTTACAACAGCGGATTGAATAATCCAAATCTTCGTCGACCTGCCACAGCAATTCTCGGTTCTTAGCCGACGACTGCGTCAATATTCAAGAGCCTGGCCTCGCCCAATCTCGGATTCCTTGTTCGTTGCTTGTAGCTGGGAATTTCTATTTCTCAGCCGGCGACTGCCAAAAGCAATCCACGGCCTACATCGTTCTTTACTTTCCGGTGTGGGGATTTATTATTTTTAGCTGATCGGAGCTAGCTGTACCAAGGAAGAGGGGAAAGTACGATGGACTGGGGAAGTGTAACTGCTGATGATCTGATTGGAGCTCTAAGAGAAGTCGACTGGTCTTCTCCGCCTCGTCCGCTCAACGAATTCTTCTCCAAATTCAGCATCACCCGATCTTACCCTAAGTGGAGCAGCCGCCTCAAATGCAATCTGTATTAGTGAGTGCTCTCTCGTTAACACCCCACATGCCGGTTTATTCGTTCTCGTCAATCGGATTGTTTTGCCCGCTTTGCTATCCTGCTCTCAGATGCAATTGAGAGAACTAAAATTGTTGAATTTTGGAATTGTTTTAGCGACTGTTTGCTGAATTAGGGCTTGTCTCTTTTGGCAGCTACAGGACGAACTACTTCATTTTGATTATGCTCATTCTTGGTAAGAAACCCCTTTAGGACTTAGCTACATGATTTTAGCTGTGGAGTTTTTTTTTTTTTTTTGGGTTACAGCTGACGTCCTATTTACTCGTGGTTCTTTTCAGGTGTTGCTTGTATCATGAGGCCTTTAGCAATAGTTGCTGCTGCTTTGACTGCTCTAAGCTTTGCTTTCCTTAACGATAGGTAATTTTCGGTTTTGTGAATGTTTTTGCATCATGGGAATGTTAGGAATCTTCCGTTCTTTGCTGTTAGCTTCCTTCATTATGGATTACTTGCAAATTAACAACGGTAGCCTAAATGGTTGAACTTAAAAGCCAGTGTGAGTAGATAGTGGAACTTCTGATGGAAGTATGATAAATTTGCTTTGTTATTGGAAATGAGTTTGTGGTCGCTTCTCAAAGTGTTTGCTAAAAGCCTGGTGTTGTTAATCTGGTGTAGCACACCATATTGACTTATGCTCCTCTTAAAAAACGAGGCACAAGTCTGAAAAACTAGACTCAGCAGACTTATGCCTAGACCGTCCAGTTTTGTGTGCTTGATGAGTATTGGTTTGTGGACTTCATTCTTTTCTCTAGCCTTGCCTGCCCATTTTGTACCTTTCTTCCAGCTACTAACCCTAGATATGCAGTATGAAGAACATTAGTAAGGCAGTTGTTTGTGATGTAAACTTGAGTTTATCGATGAGTTAGTGTGAAGGTGATTTTTCGTTCAGTGAAGGAATATAACAAATCTTTTTCCTTTCATTTTTAATTTATTTTGTAGTTTTCTTCTGGCAACAAACTTCAGATATGTAACTTGACAATGTCATGTAATGCAGCTTTTGTCGCGTGCCAGACTAGCCTGTGAGTTAGCTAGAAAGCTGAATTATACTTTAAGGAAGAGCTCTAACTGGAATCTGTTGCCCCTTCTAGCCTGTAGTTTTTTTTTCTTCCTGTTTAGTTTCTTGCGATCTATTGCATCCATCTGATCTGTGTGAAGTTGTTCCTAAGTTGTTCCTTTACTAGGTTAACTTTGTGACCACAAAAACTGGGAGTAGGAAACCATCATGTTATTTGAAGTCGCTTTTGTCATGTATTCTTTGTGGTGAGCTGATAAACGTTTGTGATGCAGTTTTGCAGTCACCTTCAGTGAGAAGACGACAAGAACTGTGAGGAAGTTTTCTCCTCATTTGGCAGCAAAGATGAGGCCTCCTCACATGTGAGTTGCTGGTCCTGATGTGACCTTTCCTAATTTCACTTTCATGGATGACTATTAGTATAAAGAAATTACTAATTTGCCATGTTTTAAACATTTAGGCCTGTCATCCGCGGCCGCCCATCGTCCAAGAAGACAATGTACATCTGTGGTCAGCCTCGTGGAGTCTTTGTTTTCGTATTCACATCCGGTATATAATTAAATTCCTTTCAAGTTGATGACGCAATCTTGATTTTATTTTTGTTGTACTTCTTTGTTGATATTGGCTGATGAGATACTCCCTGTCTGACAATCCTTCTTTGCAGCCAGTTTGATTTTGTGGTTTGCTTCAGGCAGCTTGCCCACTGTTCTGTGGGCACTCGTGATTGCCCTTCTTGGTAAGGTTCCTCTAGTAGTGAGCCTTGTAGCAATTCCTTCCAGACAATAGTGTTGTGGGGCTAATTGATGATTCCCATTTCCTTCCACAGCGACCATCATCCATGCGAGTGTCAGAACACCTAATCTCAAAGCAAGGCTCAATACATTCAGGGAGGAGTTCCGCGAAGTCTGGCGCAACTACAGCGACCTGTGATTGTCTACGGCAACCATTTGATGACATACGTCCATTACTGTATTTGCCGTAATCCTCCATGGTGATCCTCGTTGAATCAGGAGATGTTTCTGCTAGTTGTCATTGCAACATGTTCGCCAAAGCTTCGCACATCTCTTCTTCTAGGTCCAAGGTTCGGGGTAGCATTTACCTACAGGAAGAAGAAAAAAAAGATATGGTTTTGTTAGAGCTGTGTGTTGTAAATTTTCGTCTAGGCACATAACAGATCTCTGTGCAAGATGCTTTCTTGTCACCCTTTTCACATGTGAACTTGAATGGAATGGTAGTACCTAGTAGTCTAGTACTAGTGGCGTCCAAGATTGCTAATTGTGTATCCTGGATCGTGGGAAGCATAAAGGATTATATGATTTCTTCATTTCTAGCAGCTTCTTTCGTCCTCAACTTATCTGTAACATATAAAGTATCCATTTAATCAAGGTTTTACAAATGTTTGTAGGAAATTGAGGTCTTATATTAGTTTAGAGTACCGTAGTGTGGTTTACATGAGGTCGTTCATACAAAGCTTTGGACGCTTGATTAATTGACGACTCCTTTAAGGAGATCTAAACTCATAGATTACATTTAACATACCGTTTGGTACTAAATGAATCTAGAATTCAGTTCGTTTTAAATGAACGCTTGTGTAGAATTTATTGTCAAATGAATTCCTGTGTTTGGTATATGCTATTAGCGTTACAATCAAATTCTTGTCGACGTTCCTCATATGGCATGAATCGGCGCCAAATAATATATGTAGAAGTAATTTTGTTAACAAATGAGAATAATTATATCATTTTATCATAATTGGTAAATACTTGTGGAATTCATTTGAAAATTCCATCTCAATTCCCGGGAATTGTTATAACTAGTTCCAATTCCGTGAAATTCAAAATTTAGAATTGAAAATGAATACTTTTAAATACCAAATACAAGAAGATTTCATTTCAAAATGAATTTCGAAAAACTTATGGAATTCATTATACTAAACAGTATGTAAGATTAGAATCCGTTGTTGTTAATTTTATGTATAAAGGATAATTATTATATGATCCATAAAGAAGCAATTGTTGAATACAAGAAAAAAGATTATTTAGAAATTAGAAAGAAAAAAACCAAAATTAGAAGTGGGTGTTATCGGCTGATTGGTTATCGATATTAACTACATGAGAATTACTTTGAAGTGATGTTCTGAATTTCATTAATTTCCAAGTCATTATCTCTCTTTATTGTATGAATATTATAGGAGTGGAGGCTATCGAGTATCGACTCATTGGTTACCAATGTCAATGAAACGATCATTACTTTGAAGTGTTGTTTCGAATTTTATTAATGTTCAATTCATTATTTCTCTTTATTATAAGAATATCAATGCAAAGTATTGAGAAAAGAAGAGATGTTTTGAGAGGTTGATCTAGTAATAATGTGAGACGAGGAATTCCATCACATTTCTGATTCGAACTTTGAGATCAACAATTAACGAACCTTGAGATCAACAACTAACGAAGAAGAAAAGAGGAAGGAGTTGCAAACCAACCATAAAGAGTCGAAACCGAACCGAATTGATGGGTACCTTTGTCAAAGGTTACACGTCCTTATATTTTCGTGAAATGTTGTTATCCTAATTGCATTAGAAGGACATAATTTACACTTTGAGTTAAACTACCAATTTGGTTTGATTTGAGATGTGACTAACTAATACTATCGGTTCACGTTTTTTCATAGATGATTTGAAGTTTAGTTTTTGGTACTTGATTTTACGGATACAATTGACTATTTTTCATTGATGACTGTGGAAATGTTCGTCACGCTCCAGAAGCAGCGCGTGGCTCCCATCTACCTTCTCTCGGGTGAACTGATTAACTGTTCTGCTGGAAATATAAAACCGGGCACCTGGCTCGCTCTCCGCTTCTCTCTGCTTGTCGTCCGCCACGGTCTCTCTTGCTTCGAGCCTAAGAAAAGCTGCTTCGCCCTGCCTTCTACGGCTCCGTCGCAGAGCCCAAAAATCTTCAATCTCCGTGAGACTTCTCGGGGAGTACCAATTGGGATTTGCATTTCAACTCAAATGCCTGCCCCTCTGTAATCTTGATTCTCGAGGAAGAACAAGAAATTCCTGAAGAGAAAACGCGGGTTGCCATTTTCTCAAAAATCTGTGCCTCTCGATCTCTCTCCGCTTCGGGCTATGGAGGACGACTCCTTCACTAACCTCCCTACTAGCCACTTGCTTGGCTCGGTGCCCGTAAGTTTCTAATTCGTATCTATTTCATTCATTTTGGGTAGGAGAGCTAATTCGTTCTGGCATTAATTCGGACTTGTGTTAGTAGTTTTGTTACTCTTCCTGGTGGTTGCAACAATCGAGTTAGGTCAATTGGGTGAGATGGCGAGGGAGAAAATTCAATGATGATTAGCCTTTGGTAGAGCAAATAATTTGTGTTGGGTATTTGCATTTTCTTTTAGTCGCTATGGAAGTGTCTCCTTATTGATCCTGCCATCTAGTTGGCCATGGCTCCTTGTTGATCCTGCTATCTAACTGGAAATTTGCATAAAGGGGTCTCTGGAAGGTGGCTTTAATGGCTTACTGCCAGCTGCTTTGTTCTGGTCTTATGCTTACACTGACTCGGTTTCTGAGTAGTTGTACTAGTACTACAATTTGTTCTATCTTAATTGACTTGAGCACTTATGGTGTTCCCCTTTTCTTTCAATTCTTTCTAGGCTGTGGTTACTGAAGAAAAAAGCCCCAAAAACTATGAAGGTATGAAGTTATATGACCCTTAAAACAATATGTTACACTAATTGCAAACTTGACCTAATATTACAGCGTTGTTTATTTGGAATGAATTGCAGTCCCTGAAGCAAGTATGCAGACGTTCCCTCCATCTAGTAATGGACGGGGAGGTGGAGTAGGCAGCAGCAGCAACAACAACAACAAGGGTTATCAGACGATGGGAGCTCCAACTGGTACGAATTTTAAGTAGTGGCATATATCCAATTTAGTAAGATCATTTGCCTTGGTCCAGTACTGTGTGGTTTATCCATGATCTTCATGACTTTGTTACACTACCCTGATAGCTTTTAAGAAATGTCGGAGTAAGGTTAGCTCTTAATTATTAGCTGGTCTGCCAAGCAAATTTTATTGTCTTGAATGGCTCGTTGAGACACTATAGGATCAGACATACCTACAGTTACTCTCTTATTTTTTCCTCTAGTTAGAAGCCAAGCAACAAGTGATGGGATATCAGTTTCTCATTTCATATGTAAGTTGGTCTTGACTTCAAACAAAATGGTCAATGGTGGGAAGTTAAAGTCGACACTTCTCCTATGCGGGAGAGCCTCAAGGGTGTTGGTGATCCAGATTGTTCTGATTGTAAATAATAGGATAGACTGAGAAGAACATTAGCATTTTTCCATCTTGTAAAGGGGACAGCCTTGTCAGTCTTTTTACCTCCGAGTCAAGTAAATCTCTTGGCCTTTGGTATCCAGTAAAGTCAAAAGTAATTTCTGTCTGTTAAAGCTTGGTTGAAATATTTCTTTTTTATTGCATTAATCGAAGTAACTACATTGAATTCGTTGCTGAGGTCACTTGGACTATAGTACTGATATTTGCCTCATTTCTTAAACAATGAATAGATGGAGTTGAACAGCAAGGACCACCAAACACTTGGAAGGGGGTATTTAGTGTCTCATCATATGTACAATACTTCAATGTCGATACCGACATTGTCGTGAACAGATTGATGAGCTCATTCTATCCTATAGGTGGGGATTTTTTCAGCAAGATTGACGCCAATCCAGACTTGTAAGCACATCCCTTATTCATCTTTCTATTGTCCCCTTCTCTATTTCTGACACTAAAACCATGACATACTTGAATATTGGCATCTCACTTCTACTTTGTAATCTGTTGATGAGGACAATATTTTTTGTCTGGTCTCACCAGTGTCAGTTTTGTCGTTGTGGTAGATATGGACTGGTGTGGATATCAACAACATTGGTGTTCCTGCTGTCCGCTCTAGGAAACTGTGCTACCTATCTCATGCTGAAACATACCGACAGCAGTGCATCCTGGAACTTTGATGTTGGCTATGTTAATGCCGCGGCTGTCTCGATCTATAGCTATGCGATCGTTGTGCCACTGGGGTTTTACTTCTTGCTTCAGTATCTTGGATCAACTGCAAGCCTGATTCGGTTCTGGTGCATGTGGGGATACTCTCTCTTCATTTTTGTCCCATGTTCTGTAAGTCCCCTGCCTGGTGTGGGTTCATTGATGTTAGTGTTTCCCTCACTAAAAACTCTGTCTTCATCTTGTGCATGTGTTCTGTATCTATTTGCAGGTGCTGCTGGTTATCCCAGTGGAGTTCCTGAGGTGGTTGATCATACTGGGCGCTGGAGCTGATTCAGCATGCTTTGTCACTGCAAACCTCAAGACATATGTTGGAGGAGGTGATCTCACTATTGTGCTGGCTGCTTCATTTCTATTGCAACTCGCACTGGCAATCTTCATCAAGGCCTGGTTCTTTCCCTGATCAGGTAATCTCCCCTGGCGTTACTAGTTTGCAAGTGATCAGTATTTTGAGACTTAAGTTCTTCTGATTCGTGTTTTGTTGTAAGTGGTGCCTTAGAATAGGAGTGATAGTGGAGTTTGTTTTGTTGGGCTGACGAGTTGAATCGAAAAATGTGGGGGCTTGTATGCGTAGTCTGCAGTTTTTAGGAGACTTTTAAAAGTTTTTGGATGGAAAAACAAATCCAGGTGCAAAGCTTTTCGTTTCATCTTTCTGCTCTGTTTTTATCTCCCTCCCAGAACGGATCGCGTTGTTGGAGTTTGAATTTTGTGCGCAAGTCTGTAAATACACAAATCCCTCTATTTACCGAGTCCGAGAGCTCCTTGCTTTTGTATTGTTGTGCGTTACCATGATACCATCTGGTTGAAAATCACACTACTTTGCTGTTGTTTGAGACCACAAATTCTATGGATTGGAGATGAACAGAAATGCAGACCACAGTGTATGCCTTTAGGCTTTAGATGTTCTTTTCCCAGCACTTGGTTGACGAGACTCTACGCTTAAAAAGATTAATAAATGGAGGAAAAAGGAAAAAAGAGCTGGACCCACATATGGCTCGAAGGTGTATTTCCAAAATTGATGTTCTCTCTCTCGATTACATCTGATGAATCATTGTGAAGTGTATGTCCAAAAGGAATTTATGTTCAAAGCACTTGGTCCATGAAACTGTACCAAGAAATTGAAAAGCAACGCAGGTCTCGTATTATAGAGCGCATTCTAAGATACATTTTACATCTCAATATATAAAATTACTCTGTATTGATGTCCTTGAGATTGCATTGCACATATGCACTGGAAAAAAAAAACATCATGCTTGTTTGGTCGCATGTTACATATCATCCTCTCAAATTATCCGAAGAATTAAAATCCTCCTGCTTGAGACAACGAGAAAGAAGGCTTGTGAAGAATATTTTAGGGAATGAGGAATAAGGCTTGTGATAAACATTTACAGGGTATGGCGTTGATTGGAAACACGTAAACGAATGAAGAATCGCCACCAACATCGACCAATGTTACTTTCTAAACCTTGGCTAGACAGCGATTGGTGAGCCAACTTGAATGGTAAAAACACGTGAGCCACCTAGCAAAGGTGTTTGCGGGTATATCCGAATCACAAAGGGGATGGATTGGTTCATCTCTTCATCTGATTATCATCCAAGTATCCAACCAATCCTTTTGGCCACGTACTTTAGTGCCGTTACACTATAGAACAGAGGATGTTATGTTAGTCAGACTCACTCTTTGTGTTGTTTGCCAGTGCCACATGTCCTCTCTCTTTCCCATCTGTGGCCACTTCTTTTGTTTGAGAAGTGAGAACTACCCTCTACCTGCAATCCAAATGACTCTCAGAGTTCCCCTGTTTGGAGTTAATGATTGATTCACGTTTTCCTCTTTTCAATCATTGATCCGATCCTCATATCATATTCAATCTACATTATAAAACTGCTGCAACGAGACAATCTCTGGGTACCCATTTTCGTAAACGTTGAAAGCTGTAGAATTTGACGAAAGCCTGTAGCAGGGACACACGTTAGCGGAGTTAGGACGACAATGATGACAACAACCATTATTGGCGTCGTATATATATAGGGACCCAAGTAACCAACGGATGGCCGGAATTGCTTTGAAGAATAATTAAGTGGGAAGAGATGGAACAAGGAAGGAACACCTAAAGCAACCGCACAGCCGCAGGTAGAGCAGAGGAAAGCGCGATGGATGGATCATGGATCTGTGCTTTTGTTTTTAGTTTAGGGGCATCGGCGGCCGCCAACCGCTACAGTCCAAGCCCACCTCCATTAGAAACCATCTAACTCTGGCGGCCTCTCATTGGGCAACTTACCACGTTCTGCCAAGTACACATTGTCTGGTTCTGAGTGCCAAATTCAATTTTCGCCACTCAAAACATTTTTGTACGTTATTCTAAGGGTGAATATCATAACCAAGGCCTCAACTTTAGAAGCAAAAATATTTTGGTACTTACGGAACTTCTCAAAGAGTGCTGCTTTGATTACACTTTGTTGCATCTGACGGTTAAAGTTTCTTCATAGTGGATAATTATTAACAAAGATTGTTCGTACAGTCTCGTCGATGGTTGCAGTTTTTGTGAGATATAAACGTGGAACTAAGTTTTAGAGAAATCAAAATGCAAAAAAAAAAAAAAAAAAAGACTAGATCATATTAGGATTCGACGCAAAAATTTGGAGGAGATGAAGGCTAATAGCCTGGCAATGGCATTCCCATCGTTTTCAAGTTTTGCTCAACATATATCATACCTATACCTATGTTATGTATTTATGAGTAGGGATGACAATTTCGACCTGACCCGTTTTATCCGACCTGTTTGACCTGATTTGGAGTGGATCCGACCCGTCCCGTAGGCGGGGCGGGGTGGACATGGGTACCTCCCATCGACCTGACATGCACCGACCTGCCCTATTCTTGACCTATTCTTACCTAAATTACATGTAATCTTAGTCAAATTATTTAGAATTTTTCTTTTATTACCTCATATTTTAGCTATAATAAACTTGTAAATAAGTGAAAACCTTAATTTCTCCAATAATTTAACTACATTTCATCATATTATGGTTTCTTTCTTGTTCTTTTAATGAAAATAACAAATATTCTAATGGTTTTCACATAAATTATATATCCATTGAGTCGACCTGCCACGACCCATCTCCGTGATAAATTACCTGACTTATACCGGACCTGCCACGTGGCGGGTATGAGTATCGAGATACCCGCCCCGAACTTACCCCATTGCCATTCCTATTTACGAGGGAAGCTCTAGAACCTTTTTAAAATACAGCTTACTCTTCTTCTAGTTGACGGTAACGATTAATCAAACGTAAAATGTTACAAATGTTATCAAATCACAAAGATTTCCTGTATAATTTCAAAATTTGCATACTACAAATGCCATATTTAACAAAGTTGAGGACTCCCAGTGGTATTAACCTTAATTTTTATTATATTCATATCTCTGATCCATCCCTCGCACCGTCGCACGTCTCTTCTCAGTCTGCCCTTTTAATCTCTCCTCTTTTTCTTTGTTTAAGGCAGCCAGGGTTTTTCTCTCTTTTCTGTTGACTGCTCTCTCCTCTCGCGCTGCTGTCCCATTTCTCGACACTTTTTTTTTTTGGGTTTTCGCAATTGTTTTTCTGAGTTTCGTTTTCACGGGGATTGCTTAGCCAGTCCCCTCCATAAAAACCCCAATCGGATCCGCAACTCTTCTCCGCATCTCCAAAAGATCTCCCTCCCTCCCGCCCGACCCACCCATTTTTCTCTCTCTCGAGTCGCTGCGTACGCGCAATCTCCACTTTTTCACTCTCCCTTCTGACTGCCACCATGATGAACGGCGGCGCGGCCGACACCCCTCGGGCCTTTGTGAAGGAAGTGAAGCGAATCGTCATCAAAGTTCGCCTCTTTCCCTCTTTATTATTCGAGTTCCTTCTACCCTCTTAGGGATAATAATCGCTGCAATCAATTTTGACCTTATTTTGACTCTTTACTTCTTTTGGTGCAGGTTGGGACTGCTGTTGTCACCAGAGGTGATGGGAGATTGGCGCTTGGGAGGCTAGGAGCTCTATGTGAGCAGGTTGTGAATAGTTTTTCCTCTTTTTGGGTTTTGTTTGTATTGTTTGTCATGTGTTTTTTTCTGTTAAAAGAAGTCTTTATGTCTGTTAAAAAGCTATATTCTGCTTTGCTGTTTGTGGGTAGATTCTGAATATTCTTTTTCTTTTGTTTCTATTAATATGAAAATTGGTGGGTGCAGATTAAAGAGCTGAATTACCAGCAATATGAAGTCATTGTTGTCACCTCCGGTGCTGTTGGCCTTGGCCGCCAAAGGCTCAAATACCGGAAGCTAGTCAATAGCAGGTACCTCCCTGGATTCCCATTTTCAATTTTCATTTTGAGTTGTTAATCTGAGTTTTAAAAAAAGACTGTCCACGGGGTAAAGAAATGATCTTTCATGCTGTATTGCTGTTATAGGTCTAAATATAGGACAATTTGGTTAGATTGGCTGACACTGATTTGGTTTGTAATTGTGGTGTTGTAGTTTTGCTGATCTACAAAAGCCACAAGTTGATCTCGATGGGAAAGCTTGTGCTGCTGTCGGGCAAAATTGTATCATGGCCCTTTACGACACATTGTTTAGTCAGGTGATTCATAGAATTTGGTCTTGTTTCCATTAAGTTGTACTCTTGATTCATATATTTATATTTTTCGTCCTATTCATCATCTTTGTCTTCTGGTAATTGGGGTATCTAATGAACTACCTCGTCTTGTGCAGCTGGATGTGACATCTGCTCAACTTCTCGTCACTGATTCAGACTTTAGGGATAAAGATTTCAGGAAGCAACTTAAGCATACTCTAGAGTCACTGCTATCGCTGAGGGTTGTTCCCATAATCAATGAAAATGATGCAGTTAGTACAAGGCGAGCTCCATATGAGGCATGTCACTTTGTGTTGTTTCTCCTACTGGTTTTCTTACATCAGAACATGCTAAAATTTTGAACTTTGTGTTTCTTGTAAATCCTTGTTTGGGGTCCTGGTAAAGGTCAACATACAGGTTTTAGTTTACAGCCAAATTGGGCAAAGCTTAATTAACTCTTTTCCTATTGTTGTTTTGATTCTCTACCCTCTTAACCCGCCTTTTCCTCCATGATCTTTGTTAATAGCATAGAAGTTTAGCTTGCATCCCCCTGCGCCTTAACATGATCATCGAGTTGATTTCACACATCTCACCTCACTTGATAGTTCTGACCCGTGGTAGCTTCTTCTACAGGATTCTTCTGGTATATTTTGGGATAATGACAGCTTGGCCGCTTTGTTGGCTCTAGAGCTAAAAGCTGATCTTCTTGTTCTGCTGAGTGATGTGGAGGGTCTTTACAGTGGTCCACCTAGTGACCCAGAGTCAAAGTTGATTCGCACTTACATTGAGAGAGTTCATCTGGGTGGAATCACATTTGGGGACAAATCTAGGGTGGGCAGAGGGGGCATGACAGCCAAAGTAAAAGCTGCTGTAATGGCTGCCAAGGCAGGTGTCCCTGTCATTATAACCAGGTATTCTTCCTTGCTATATAGAATCCATGCTTTTATTTTGAATAAACTACCTCTTGATTTTGTGTTTCTTTCTTGTTTTTGTTGCTTATCTCTTCTAACATCCTGATACTACTCCTTTGTAAAATATTATCATGAACTGTTTCTCTGGATGTGTGTTGATCTGTGAGTTGGCTCTTTTTAAAGCGGATTTGATCCCGAGAGCATAGTTAAAGTCCTCCAAGGAGATGATGTTGGCACCCTCTTTCATCGGGATGCTCATTTGTGGGTCAAAACCAAAGAAGCTGGTGCACGTGACATGGCAGTTGCAGCAAGGGAATGTTCTAGAAGGCTGCAGGTTCTGTGGATTATCCCATCTCTTACACCGTTAAATGAAGCTTTTGGTTTTATTTTTGAAATTAATGTATCTTGCTCTAACTTTATCGTGCTCCTCGGTTTGTGTCCTCTTCTGCAGGCACTATCTTCAGAAGATAGGAAAAAGATTTTGCTGGACATAGCAAATGCCCTAGAAGCCAATGAAAAAGTAATCAAGGTTGAAAATGATGCAGATGTTGCTGCTGCTGAGCAGGCTGGAATGGAGAAGGCCTTGATTGCACGTCTGGCTCTAAAGCCTGGCAAGGCAAGACAATGCTGTTGTTAGACTCTATTTATAATTTTATGTCCTTGCTTGAACCATTTTCTTATGTGTATACATTTATCATCTTTTTTATTCTTTACTTTCCAGATTACAAGTCTTGCAAAATCAATACGTGTCCTTGCGAGCATGGTAGATCCAGTTGGTCACGTTTTAAAGACCACCGAGGTAAGGATTTATCTTTATTCTCCCAATTCAGCTCTAGTAACACAACCAAATATATGTGATGCTTTATTTTAGGGCTTCAATTCTGATGATTTAAGTCAGCACTATTATTTAGCGCAGAAAGAGGGGAAATATGAAGGATAAATGCACATTTTAAGAAACAAACAGCCCCTTGTCAGTAAATTGGGAGTTTTCTGATTATGTCCAACCAAAGTATTCAAATTGTTTAGGTTGCTTTAAAAATGCCATGTGGGATGTCAGGACACTCGCTTGGTATTAGTCGAATATTTCTTTTCGCTATGTTACCAAATATTTTGTGTTAGGTGTTACTCAATTCTGTTTAATGGTTCCAGCTTGCAGATGGTCTTGTCTTAGAGAAGACATCATCTCCTCTAGGGGTTCTCCTGATTGTTTTTGAGGCTCGGCCTGATGCACTAGTGCAGGTGGGTTATATTATAGGATGTTCGGCAACCTTCTTGCTCACCCTATAATTAAAAGCTGTGTCATTTGTTTTAAGTTTGCTGTATTCTTTTAAATAGATTGCTTCATTGGCGATCCGCAGTGGAAATGGTCTCCTACTGAAAGGGGGAAAGGAGGCCAGGCGATCAAATGCAATTTTGCACAAGGTCTGCTTCTTTGCTTTCTGAAGTTTGAATATTAATCGATTAGCACATGTGCTTACTCTTCCCCTTTATAATTTGTTACAAAATAGGTAATCACTGATGCCATTCCAGACAATGTTGGGAGAAGGCTTATTGGACTGGTGACCTCAAGAGATGAAATTCCTGACCTACTTAAGGTGGATAGTTGTTTGAACTATAACGAAATTTAAGCAGATGGTCCTGTTGCTTAAAACTTGGAAAGAGAGTTTGGACTGATGTGTTTCCTTTTCCTTTGAATCAGCTCGATGATGTAATCGATCTTGTGATTCCTAGGGGCAGCAATAAACTGGTTTCGAGTATCAAAGCATCAACCAAAATCCCTGTTCTGGGCCATGCAGGTAATAAATAACTTCGGTTTCATTTGTCGGTCTGTTGATGGTGCCAAACATGGAAGTCACACGTTTTGTGCTGCTACACAGATGGAGTCTGTCATGTATATGTTGACAAGTCTGCTAATATGCAAATGGCCAAACGTGTCATAGTGGATGCAAAAGTGGATTATCCAGCAGCCTGTAATGCAATGGTATAATAGCTGACCAACTCTCATCTACATATTAACATGGTTTCTGTTCTGTGTGCTCTTTTTCTTAATGAATTATGAACCAATACCTTTTTTGGTTTTCTCTTACAATATCCAGGAAACACTTCTAGTGCATAAGGATTTAGTGTCCTCTGGTGGCCTGAATGAGCTAGTACTTGAACTTCGGAATGAAGGTATGAATGGATGCTGTTTTTAGTCTTTTCCTGGGTTTGATGTCTTCCCTTAAGATATAGGCTGTATATCCCTATTGATTACGAGATGTTTCTATTATTCAGGTGTGGTTCTACATGGCGGGCCAAGGGCGAGCGAGGAGCTGAGCATCCCTGAGCCAGCATCGTTACATCATGAGTACAGTTCCCTTGCATGCACTGTTGAGATCGTTGATGATGTGCATGCTGCCATCGATCACATACATCGACATGGAAGGCAAGATCTTAATTGCTTTCGTTTGGACAAGTTGTGCGACATTTCATTTCATGCTGAATTTGTCTGCTGACGTTGTTTCCCCCATTTTTTTTGGCAGTGCCCATACTGATTGCATCATATCAGAAGACCTTGAAGTTGCAGAGACCTTTTTGCGACAAGTTGACAGGTAACTAACCCCCATCTACACTGTACTATGTTTTTGTCTCAGATTATTGTTGCTTCAGTTTCATATTCATTGACATTGTGATTTACGATGTTGTTTCTTCTATTCATCCAATGCAGTGCTGCTGTTTTCCACAATGCCAGCACAAGGTTCTCTGATGGAGCTCGATTTGGACTTGGAGCAGAGGTGAATAACTCGAATGACAATCTTATCTATGCATCTCTAACTAATGATTGTGTGGTGCTTATTACTGGATTTTTCTTGATGGATGGGGTAAACAGGTCGGAATCAGTACGAGTAGAATCCATGCTCGAGGCCCTGTTGGAGTCGAAGGATTGTTAACAACCCGATGGTAATACCGACTCTCATCAGGATTGCCCCTGCCCGCTTGTTTCCATTGTTTGAAGAAAAAAAAACAGAACCCTTTTCTTTTCCTGAACCCTATCTATTGTCTCTACGTTCCATTTGCAGGCTACTGAGAGGGAGTGGACAAATAGTGGATGGTGATAAGGCAATAACCTACACCCACAAGGATTTAACTTCTGTATAGATTTCCAAGCATCATCACCAGAGGAAGAAGATTAGTCACTTGCATGCCATCTTAGCTGCGGTTTTAATAAATCAAATCATCATTATTAGGGGGAGTGTTTATTATCATTATTAGGATATCCTGTAATCTCTGCCATGACCCTATGTTACTGAATAAGTTCTCCATTCTCTATTAAGCTTTATTGTTGGAGGTGTTGGAGTTTCTTATAATTATGACGAAAGATTTAAGTTATGTAGGGGGCCTCTTCCGATCCATGACCAGTAGTAGCCTGGGCAGATTTGGGAACGTGGAGTTTGGGATCTTATGAGTTTCTCTTTTGGCCTTCATGCTAGTAGTTAGGAAGGCTCATTGTAATGCAACTCTACAAGAGGAGTTTATGTCCTTAAGTCTACATTTCATGCCGTTCACTTTTTTAAGCAATAGGCTTCGTTTGTTAGGGGCTGATATCCGAAATCCTATGTCTATGATTTTGATAACATGGATAAAATCCGAACTATTTTAAGTAGGAGAATGAATATGCAATATTTTACCCCAATCTAGTCCATTATCTTCTCGTCTATTCATAACAAAAAATTAGTACAATACTGATTTGATCCATCAAAATACACATAATTTATTCTGTCACATAAACTTATTCAATCAATCATTTCCTAATGCAATTTCGTCACTCTAAAAGAAAGGGTTAATGGCTCCTCAATGTTTATGGGTCGCTAATCAGTGTACCCTTAAATTATGAGCTTAGTGGCCTTCCAGCAACGCATGAAGTATCGATAGTAGATCAAGAAATAGGATAAGTACAAATTTGTTGCAGAAGATATTGAAAAACATACAAGAGATAATCAAACACAGTATCTATCTAAGAAGATATACATAATCAACCTAAGCCTTGTCACTGCGGGTCCCTTCTAATTTCTAAAATAGTAAATAAATGTAAATTAATACCAATTAAAATCAAGAGTTAGAGACAATTGCAATAACAATTAGTGGGAAGAGATTGAAGCTTTTTCGTAACAATAAATTAAATTGAAGCTTTGGAAGAGTACATTACCACCGAGTTGCTGAGTTGTTTTGATATTGCTAGACAATGAAATGGTTACTTAACTGTTTAATTATGTTTAGCGAATCCATCACATGAAAAATGGTGAAGTAACAGGTAATCTCTTTCAATGTATTTCAATTGGAGATTCCTATTATGAATAGTCACCATCATTACCAATATTGTCAATACTGTCTCGGGTACTTTTACTCTCGACTCCGGCACAACCTCTATAGTATTATTGAACACAACAACGAAAAAACAAAACAATCAACGATGACATAACAACCTCTTCACAATCATTTTGTTAATCATAATTAATTTATCCATAATCGATTTTGTCATTCATGCACCCTCTATGGAGAAAAAGCCAATGACTTCAGAACTGTCTTTGTCCAATCTTATCATAATTGATTGTTGATATTGCAAGTTGTAAGCACTATAATATTAATTCTCTCTATAGATAAAATCCAAATATAACAGTAAAATCTAATATATCTCAATAACCCAAATTGTGGGAAGAAATCTAAAATATACAATGCATAACTTCGATTAGGATAAAAATAAAAATTTGGAATGCTACTACCTTAGATTTCACAATGTAGTACGTGTTCAATGTCCACCAAAAGGAAGAAGAAAAAAACACCAGAGAAGCCACAGATGACTAGGAACCAGAGAAGACTAGGAACCAGTAAATACATCCCAAAGTTCTTTTCTTTCACACCGAAGCCACAGATGATCTACCTGATACAGCATCTTGTTTACATGTACCCATGAAACAGAACCCAAATTCACTTTTTCATAAGCAACATCTCATCTGAACATATAGCACTTACCACCGACTCCGGTAGTTCGATAAGCAAAAAGCTGCCCAGCAGAGTCAGCACTAACCGCTGATACTTTAACAGTGAGAAACTCTACCAACATTAATGACGAGCATCTCCCCACCAGACTTAGTAAACCTAAACGGTGTTGAATTCGAAATTGCATCGGCCAAAGAGATCGAAGAAGTGCTTTCGATAAACTTTCATGCCTGCACGAACTTCCTGAGGTCATTCAACCAGCCCAAATACTCTCTACAGTCTTTGTTGATCATGTACTCGTGGAGGAAATTGGTTGTGCTGGGCTTGATTCCTCGTATATCCAAATACTTATGGAAAGCATTCTTCAGATTCTCATCCAAATCACTGTAGAGCAAGCCACAAGTATTCAGCCAAACGACTCACACCCGCCAGAGTTAACACAAGTAAACTGGTCAAAAGTCAAAACAACATAAGAGAACAGTAGGTTGTAGACTTACTGGAAGTTTGGTCCATCGTACACCATTTCTTCAGAATTGTTTTCAGGTTTCTTCACCGACAAGCTGTCAATTGCAATCTCATCTGCAAAAGCAACACAGCTGAACTCCAAAGAGGTTCCACTCTTCTTGGTAACAGTGACAACCAACGGGAGGCTAGACTGAGTTGGCCTCTCGGTATCATCATCGTCATCATCATCTCGAACATCATTCTCTTCACCGGTGACGAGATCAGGCATGTGAACCTCAACTTTAACATGTTCACCTTCGTATTGTCTTGTCAGTGTTAGTGTCTGTTGACCCAGTTTATCCTCAATCTCGAAAGGGAAACCTGCTGGAACATCCTCAACCTACAAAGACCATCAGGAGAGATTAAGTCTAGGCAAAAACAAACTCAGAAACCACTTCAGTGTTTCTAGGAACACTATGTAATATCTAGCAGACAAGGTTACAGCGACTGTAAACAGAGCAACCATGTCTTATTTGCCATCAAAACCACCCTCACTCTCTTGTTAACCTAACTTACTTAGAATTGGAGATTCCCATTTAACCACGCAGAACTACTAGAACCAAGAGCTGCTGACAAGTTCTGCACTACACCACAATTATGGGATTTGGCTCCTATCATTCAAGGAAAAATTCCATTTCGCCATTTTGTTTCCATTCTAATGTAGCATTAGGGTATCTGATGCATTATGACAGACTTTCCATTTCCTCTAGAAAGTTGGAAACTTTTCACCTTAGCCATCTTTAAGGGTTCTCCCACAGGGAAAGGAAGTCATCAATACAATCAACCATAAAGACTCCAACATATCCACAAGCTAATTTGTTTGTTTCCAGGCTAACAAAGTACAAACAATCCATCTAACCAAAACAAAGGAGCCAAACCATGAAATCAACCCAAAAAGTGGGCGGAAAGAGAGAGCTCCCTCACCTGATCGTGATCATCAGTCTCCTGGGAAGTCTTGATTTCATCCTCGATGATTCGGAGGAGCGACTCGCCGGCAGCCGGCTTGTTGCTCACCACGGGAGCTGTAGAATAGCCGCATAAATGCGAAACACCAGCGTGTCCTCTCCCGCAGATACAACCGCGGCGACCGCCTGCAGCTGTGAGGATTGCAGAACCGAAGCTCCGGCGAGCTTCAACACGACTAACAGCTCGACCCACGAGTGGGGCCAAAGTTGATGCCGATTTCCGTATCACTGCTCTGAACGCCATTCTCGGTTCTTCGTCTAGCTCAGGGTCAGGGTTTTAGCCTTTCAGATAGGGAGACTGATTTTGGAAGGAAAGGAGGATACCAGGATTTTAAGGGTTTAAGGATCAAGGCTGAAGGTCACCGGTTGGGGTGGCAATGGGCGGGTTTGGGGCGGGTTTGCTTAAACCATCCCCATCCCCGCTTTTAAATATTCAAACCCATACCCGCCTCATACCCATGCGGGGGAAGATTTTGCAAACCCATCCCCATACCCGTGGGTTTCGGGTACCCATGGGTAATACCCGCCCCATACATCCAACATTACAATACATAAAATTTTATATGTAAATTTTCAATTATAACATTAAAGGCACCTATTATATCATGAAGTCGGGAAAGTGACAATAATTCTTAATGTGGTTTAAAGCATTTTATCCTAAAATTTCCCTTAATCCATAAAATAGAGTACTACAATGTAATCCAAATCAGTATTTATTTGACTCTAATACATATACTAAGCAATAATTAACTAATATAATCTTGCTAACACGAGGGAAAAGTGAAAGAGTGAAGAGAGAGTTGAGGAAAATGAACTAGGTTTTGATTTGGGTGACCACTCAATTGCATTTCTACTAATTATTTTTTTTATTTACCCTCACTATCATTGATAGATTACTATTTCATCCATGTATTTTTTATATGTGAACAAATATTCTGGTGGGGCGGGTATGGGGCGGGGGAGGCTAAAACCATACTCGCCCCATACCCATCAAACATTTTGCGGGTTTTACCCATACCCGCCCCATACCCAGTCAAAGCGGGGATTCTCTGCGTTGACTGTGTCGGGGGCGGTCGGATACCCATGGACATGGGTTTGATTGCCATCCCTAGTCACCGGCCAATTAAGTGACGGGCCAGATATTGACAGGCCCTCTCCTGAGGCCCACTTGGATAAGTTCAGCCCAACACCGCATGCCCCCTTTCGCTCTTCTATCTGTCGAAGAGCAAATGGGCCAGAAAAGTTAAAACAGAAGTCAGAAAATGAAGTGAGAAGTGAGAACTAGCAAAGCCACAGAGCCATCAATCAAAATTCACGAGCAATTATAAAAAAGCGTTTTCCGTGTTTTCTTTCCGTTATTCTTACATTTGATTTGAAGGTTTACAAATAGCAAATGTTGGTTGATTATTATTATTTTAATGCAATAAGAAAAAGCGGATAGTGTCAGATTTCTGGTAGTGAAAGAAAGGAAAGAACATTCTTCCATTGACGCAGCATCAAGAAAGATCGCCACCATCAGCTCGGAGGCAGACCTGGTACCCAAACCCAAAATATCCCAGCTTCTGTCCATGGTGTGTCCCATGGAGCTAATGAGAATGCTAATGAGGGATTATTGATTTGTCGAAGCTGGGTTCACTTCCGGTGAGCTTCTGTGAAAAGGGGTCTTGGGTTCAAGGAGGAGCGCGGGGGAGAAGTGTAAATTGCGTTGCGGCCTGCGGGGGAAGACTGATGAAGGAATTGTTTGGGAGTCCAGGGAAGGCGAGTGGGCTGGGGCTGAGGATTGGGCAGTTTGTGTTTGCAGCTGCTTCGATTGGGGTGATGGTTTCTGCCCATGGCTTCTTCAACTCCACAGCTTTCTGGTAACGTTTCCCCTTTTCTCGCTTCTTTCCCATTCGTTTTGGGTTTCTTGTATAGAGTCGAATTTGGTGTGGTTACATGGTTTTGAGCTGGTGGGTGGTTATTGATTGTTTAGGTTCTGTTGGTGGTAGTAAAGATAGTTTGGAATCTGATTATTGTTATGCTTTCACTTATCAACGGTCCGTTTCTAGTTAGTAATTGGGGTCATTTGCTTATTCTGGTCTGAATTCTCTATCCGGGAAGAAATGGGGTCCATTGAGAACAAGGTTTACCTCAACGAAATTACTGTTTGGTTTGGAGTTAACTTTTGAGGAAGGGCCTTATAGAATGGTAGAGAAAATTGTAGGATTAGTTTGAAAAACTAGTATTGTGATTGCATTTCTAGCAGCAAATTGAACTTAATACAGTAGAGCTAAGATCAGTGTTTGGAACTATATTTGGACAAAGCTAGCTCTGTTGTAGTACATTGCTGTGATTGTACGATCAATATTGTGAGTGATAAGCTCAGGCTCTCGTGGTATTGAATCAATAGTGCAAGTATTTTCATTCATTGTGATCAAGGTCAGGCTGCAGCTTTGATTTTTTTATTTTATGTAACAGCTTATTTCATTGGTTTCTGTGACTCATCTGGTTAACAGAATAGCGGAGAGTCAAAGCCCTAATATTAGTCGCCTGTTTAATGTCCATCTTCCTTCACGTTGGATTTCCTCCTTCTAGTGTCGCTTTGATTCCAAAAACAAACAGTTATGCACCATAACTAAAACAAATCATGAAATTTGCCCCTTTCATGCTAGTAAACATGAAGATAAGAAGAGTGAGCTTCTAGTAGATGCAGCATATAAAAGTGAGCACTGGCTCACATTATCAGAAGTGTTGCAACAATATATGCTGAATTTATTGAGGTGGTTACTAATAAATTTTTTACCCCGTCATTCTGAATGTTTTTCTGCATATATGTTCACTAGCTTAGTCGGGATGTGTCTCTTCTTAACTTCCTTGATTCCCAATTTACTTCTTGAATAGCTCCAGAGCTATGATTACTGTGTTCTCTTGTGGAGTTCTGTCGACAGAGATGGAAGTAGAATTGAACTGAAAGGTTATTTTATGTCACCTTTTAGTAGAGCTGCGATATTTACATTTTTTTTTTTTTTGCACTCAGTTGCTTAAAGATAGCCTTATGTTGTCCAAAATTTTCAGCTATCTAATTGCGTCAATGGGGCTTCAAGTCCTATGGAGTTTCGGACTTGCATGCCTTGATCTACATGCATTAAAATCAAAGAGAAGCTTGCAGAATCCCGTCTTAGTGAGCCTATTTGTTGTCGGCGATTGGGTAAATGTCTATCTTTACTTCAAGTGATCATTTACACTGTCTATGTAGGATCACAAAAGGCTTAAAACATGTAGTTGATCACTATCTTCATCTCTAGTCCTTGCTTCAAGCTTCCTGGCACACTTCGAATGCAAAGACAACGGATATTTTCCTAAGCAATTCAGATCTCCATGATGAGATTTTTCAGCTTCATGCATTATTCTCCTATGCATATCTAGAGGAATGGGTAGATAATTCAGCCATCATGATGTTGCACATAATTGTTCGCATCTCATTTCTTCTTAGATTGAATTGATTGGAGCTTCATAACCCAGGATCAATTTTTTCTGATTTTTTTAATATGCAGGTGACATCTATCCTGTCACTTGCAGCAGCATCTGCATCAGCAGGAGTCACGATTTTGTACGCTCGAGACCTGCACTACTGCAATGCCACACCTCACTTCCCATGCAAAAAGTTCCAAATCTCCATTGCTTTGGCTTTCATCTCCTGGTTTCTCCTTGCAGTGTCGTCCCACGTCATGTTCTGGCTCATGGCGTCTGTATGAAGTTTAAAAATTCACAGAAGTGCGATTCATTTTGTAGCTGTAAATACAAGTCACTCTGAGGCCTGAGCAACAGAATCCATCCCCCCTTCCCTCTCTCTCCTTTTGTTAACTCGGCTCTCCTTTTTTGAGCCCTACATTACAGCTTGTTCTCTTCGCAATGAAAAAGTTGACCTGGACAAAACCTTCCTGTTGCTCAGTTGCTCTCTCTATTCCCCTCTATCAATTACATCAGCTCCTAATGGAATGTATTTGAAGTTCGAGGCTGCGCAGGAATCACTGCAAATATTGATTGGTCTAAATTGGTCAGTTGTATGGCCACTGCCTAGAAGTAGCATCATATCAAATAATCCAATGAACAATTCCTTTAGGGAAGTACTCTATGTGGAAGCAGCAGTTCCCGCTTCCAACTACTTCAGTGATGATGACAAGGATGAATGAAACATGGAACGGCCAGCTCTTAGAAAGGGAGAACAGGTCCAATGGTCCAGCACGTTTGCTGTTAGCTGGGAAATTTACATTTTGGCACTGGTTAGATCAAAGTTTAACGACCTGTCGTCCTCTGCATACTCATTATCGATCATTTGGGGTTGCTTTGTTTGGCGTTGACAATGACATACCATAACTCTGTAGTTGATTAGAATATAAGGGATGCCGGTAAATGTGGGGTGACTGCAGATGGGAGACCCACTTTGCCCCTTAATAAATCAAAATTAGGGGAGACATGTGGGTGCTATGAGTATGACAGGTAATAACTTAGAAAATCATTTCCCACTTGCTTTTCTGGTAAACTAAAACACACTCTGTGAGAGAAGAAAGGGCCACTACAGAATTGCAAATTAAATGAATCCAAATAAGCACCACTAAGAAACAGCACAAAATGTTGTTGCATCATACCCTACCACTCCTCAATCATATACTCTGCTGGGACTGAGAGTCCCTACTGAAACCTCCCAACCCTTTACCCCCTAGTAAAAGACAAAGGTATGCTCTTATCCAGATTCCTTCTCATAGAGGAGAAGCTCCCAGCAGATTCCAATATGTCCTCTTCTGTTTCTCATTCACAGCTCTCAGTAAACTCACTACTCTTCACCAGGAAACTGTTATCTTAAACTTCAGGTTGTAGTATTATAGTCTTTTGCTACCAGGTAGTTCACGATCGAAGGTGCTTCAACATTTTAAGAATAATCATACCTTCTGATAATCATTAGTAAAACTGAAGAATCCAATTAGATGACGAGAAAGAAGATAACCCATCATTGATATAATCAAGATCCCATTTTTTCTGAGTATAAAACCAGCAGTATGACAGAGAAAACTGTCACCTTTTGACCTACATGTGAGTCCACTCTGGATCCTCGGTAAATCTTGGTGGATTTGACAGCCTGGAATCCCTTGGAAGTGACCAACTGCCCACACATTTAGGGTAAGTTACTTCAAATATGTGAAAAGAGCAAGCATGGTACTCACATGAAGGAATCCATGGCAACGTCAGTGTGTTGTTATTATTCTCTCCATAATCTTGAGGGGAAAGAAAGGGACATGGAAGCTATATGACCTGTTAGCGAGAGAGACAGAGCAAAAGAAAAGTTAACAGGGGGCCACTGCCAACACACAAAGTCCAAATAATTGAAAGCCACCGACAGTTAAATTCTAGTTTTAAATATACAGGGTTCTGCAGAAGTTAAGGAACAGGAATACAGTTACATATTCTACTCCTTAGTTAGGACCATGATTTGATTATCGTGGACGTGGCCTACATAAACCTTGATTGATCTGGCTATGGTGTTTATGCCGTTGAAATGAGCGTTCCACAATCTGTAACAATTGGATGTGTGCAAGCAGTAAACACAGTAACAGAATTGAACCTTGTACAAGGACAAGAGCAAGGAAAGAGACATAAATCTTTGGCACCAAACTGAAGATCTGGAATTTATTTCTCTACACATTCCATCCCACAAATACAAATTTGCTCACACATGATTTGCATCACATTTCTATTTGGCAAAAAGCCAAGATGACAACTCACAACAAACTTCCAACTCCCACAAACTGACTTTTACACTTCTGTATGGGACAAAGGGCAATAGATATTGAAACCTCCTTGAACAAAAAGAAAAAAGATGGAGAAACAAGGTGCATTTCTTTCCAGCTGGACTGGAAAATCTCCCCTTCCATCTCAGACCAACTCTAGAGAACATACATTAATTCTACACCTCCCCCCAAAAACCATGAATTTCACTCTTCACTACTACCTGCCTCATGTTTTTTGTTTGTCACATCACAATCTCCGGTTTCAAAATACTCGACTTGATCTCCTTGTGCGGTAGAACAACACCTCCATTGCTGTAAATCTCGTCGCACACATGCACATCCTCCCCTAAGATGGTCATGTTCTCGACACGAGCCCACTGCCCGACTGTCGAGTGCCAGCCAATGATACTGCTTGAAATGCACGCATGCTTCTTTATGCGAACCCCACGCATCACCGTGCAACGAGACAATCTAACCCCAGCTTCAACCACACACCCTGGTCCTATCGCGACATCTGGACCAATCAAACACCCTTCACCAATCTTTGCTGTCTCGTCCACCAGTACATTACCGACTATGTGTGAACCAGTGGCCAACTTGACTGAAGATTTCTTCCTCAGAGATTCTAGGTAGAGTCTCAACCCTGTGATGTAGTCTCTCGGCTGCCCGATGTCCATCCAGAACCCTGGCAGAACCATGGCAAAGAGCTTCTTGTCTGCAGCTATCTTCGGGAAGACTTCCTTCTCGATCGAGGTGGGCCTCAGCTGGATTCGGTCCAGAACAGATGGGTTCAAGAGGTAGATTCCGGCATTGATTTTGTTGCCAACGAATATCTTTGGCTTTTCCACGAATTTGTCGACATGCCCTGTGGCTTCATTCATAACCACCACCCCATATTTTGATGGCTCATCGACCTGCGATGATAAAACACGAAGAATGTTACTGTCAACTACTATACTGTGGTTTCAGAATGCAGCCCTGAGAGAAATGGAATCAAGTAGAGTGAAAATGATTGATTACCTTGGTGACCATAATAGAAGCCTCTCCTCCATGGGATTTGTGGAATGCTATCATTTCCTTGAGAGGATACTCGCTGATAACATCACTGTTGAGGACAAAAAATGGTTCGCCGGATTTATCCATCAGCTTGTCCCTAGCAAGAGCCAGAGGGCCAGCAGTGCCAAGTGGCTCCGTCTCCTGCGAGCAGGTGATCTTGATACCAAGCTTTGCCTCAAAATCCTTCAAGAAGTTCAGCATCACCTCTGGCTGGTAATTGATGGCCAAAACCACCTCAGTTACTCCAATTGCCTTGAGAGCCTCGATCTGCAGTCATGCAAAAGAGAATAATTAACAAGGAGAAGTGTGGCAAAGTGAAAAACGTGAAGGAACCAAGGTTGTTTGATACCTGGTGCAGAATCATGGGTTTGTTTGCAAAGTCAACAAGAGGCTTTGGAACACTGAGGGTCAATGGCCTCAATCTTGTTCCGAACCCCCCAACAAGGATTAAAGCCTTCATCTTTATAGAATCCCCTCTGCTTTTTCCTGTAACCATAACAATCAGACAGAGTAAGCAGCAAATTTCAAAAATCTACACACGAATCCAAGCTACAGAAACCATAGAGAAAGACCAGATGCACCTAGTAGCTAATCTTGTAAGCAAATAAAAATTGCAGCCACAGAAAAAACCCTGAGAAAAATTCTAAGCACCCAGATCCAGGCTTCCCACTGGTAAAAGATTAACTGTGACGAAATGCTCGGAAATCGGAATCTACCAGGATTCCCTTTCTTTCTCACTCGCACCGACAAATTTCCAAAATTTTATTCTGACCCGAAAAGGGAAAGAGGATATCTTTCCTTTATAACCCCTGAATTTCTGCTGCTGGAAATGCAGGAGGAAGAACAATGGCTGCTAAAATCCTCTGAATAACCAGCCAAAATTTCCCAAGTCAAAAATGTCAAAGGGCAGTCTGGACGGGGTCAAACCACCGGAATTACGGGGGCAGAAATGGACAAACAAAGAACCCACATAAAAGAAAAACCGAAAGCAGCAGGAAGCTCGACCCCTGCCAGATCCAAAGAGTACACAACACGAAAATTTACAAAATTTTCAAACAAAATTCAGGGAAAACCATAGGCAAACTATATGAAAGAAAGGACACTCGACGGAACTGAGCCTCAATAGCAACAGAAAGGCCCTAAAACATTATCCACATTGTAGATGTTCTAGGAGAGATCATAACGAAAGTGCGGGAAGATTGAAAGTCCAGGGAAATTGGGAGGAAACAGAGCAAAAGATTTGTAATTGAAATCACCTTATTCGACGAGATCGGAAACAGGGGAGAGGGGATGAGGGGATTGGGGATCGAGTTCCGGGAGGTGAGGAGGATCCCAGCCGGAACGCGGGAAGCGGAGGAGAGGCAGAGCCGGCGGAGGGGGGAAAATGGAGCCGGCAGGGTGTTAATTTATGTAATTAGCGATCTGTGAGGAAGGAGGAGAAGGGGGAAGGTGAGAGGTAGAGGAAGGAGGAGAGTTGAGTGGACGAGAGAAAAGTATTTTGATGGCGGTGGTTATTTATACGTGTGTGAGGAAATTGAGATTTCGGAATATGCCAAAATGTTTTACCGACGACTGGGAAAAGGCAAACACCCTCGCCGGATTTCAATTCCTTGTTTCTAATTAATATTTTACTGCATTTCAAGTTTTTAGGCAAAATTCACTTCCATAGCCATAACTTTTCACTTTGTGACAAATATAGCCAGATTCTGAGAAATACACAGAAATAGCCAAAAATTTGAAAATGCGTTGACAGTAATAGCCATTTCCGTTATTAAATGTGACGCCGTGAGGAACGCCGTTAATTACATGTTCGCTTAGCTGATGTGGCCGTCTTATGGACTCCACGTCGGCGCCAACAGGACTGAATTTGCCACCTAAGCGCCACGTCATCCGGAGGAGAGAGAATCATTTGGGGCAATTAAACCTTCTTCTAGCGACCGACTTCTCCATTCTGATTTTCGATTTCATCTTCTTCCTCCCAAAAAAGCCGAAACCTTCTTCCATCTTCCTCGGCCCTCGCAGCGGTAGTGTCAATCCGGCGAAAACCCTCGACGCGGACAACTGTGATTCCGATTCTCTCATCCCTCGGAAGTGTCAACCCTCAGCAATGTGAACCCGCATCTCCCATCCATCCCTCCGATTCTTCCTC